CCCCAAAACCCCAAAACCCCAAAACCCCAAAACCCCAAAACCCCTTAAAGTATTTAAAATATTGAACCAAAATGGCATTTATGAATGATGGGCCGGCAGATCTTCACAAGCTCTTCTACTTCATCCTGTTTCATTTCTGAGTGATAGTTATCACAGTCATTTTATGGAGATGAATATGGCTCAAAAGAATAGGTAAGCCCATTACTCAAAAGTTCTAATTGATACTTCTTGATGTTCACCTAACACAGTCCATTAAGATAGAACTCTGACGGGTATAACTAATTTATTTAGGAATCGAGCTTCCTTCTGAGAGGAGAGAAATGATAGAAAATGAAGTCACCGAAAGCCAATGACATACAACAAAAGATTTCAAGGTTTTTTGGAAGATTTTCAAAGATAAATATATGAGTCTTGACGAAAATTACTGGGTGAAACATTGCGGAGTTGATGCCTTTCTCTATCTCCTACTCCAGAGAAGGGTTATATCTCTCTTCTTTTGGATAGGAATAATCTCTTTCATATTATCTTTGTTCTTCAACCTGGCATCAGATGAGACTTTGGATATACAGGATCACAAATGGAGAAATGATTGGTCTATAAAGGTCCTCTATGGCAATAAAGATTTTATCAAAGGTGCATGGTCATGGGTGCAAGTTGGTTTGTGTGGACTTATTACCCTCTGGACCCTAAATACTGTCTATGAACTTAAGACTCAAGCTCGAAGGGTCTACAAAAAGTATGTACAGTATGATTATGAATGGCTCAAATCCAGAACTATACACGTGAAAGGACTTCTCAAAAATGATATCACTGGAGCCATGCTTGAAAATATGCTAAATGATCACCTTCAAGATACTGAAAGCAAGATTCTAGCCATTTGTGTAGTACCAGATTACAGAAAATTAACACAACTAGAAGAGAAAAGGAAAGATCTTGAAGACCTCAGTCAGCTGCTGGGAATCAAGGAGCCAACCTTCATGAGACTTTGCGTTAGAAAGAAGTTCAGAACAGAAGAATATTATAAATATGAACTTGAAGAAATTGAAGACCAAATAAGAGATGAACTAAAGAAACCAATTAAATCTTCTGGGCATGCTTATGTTGTATTTGATTCTTACTATAGCATGTCGAGATGCCTTCAGAAATATAGAGAGACTCCCTGACAAACTTGTAAGATCATGTGGTCTAGCTGCTTTAATAAAATAACAATGAGAGATACATTGGCAAATGATCCTCGAGAAACTTTTGTCAGATTTCATGATGATCAAGAAAGACGTCAAAGTGAGTATGATAAAAGAGGAGCTACAATTCTCATGAGCAGTGCCAAGGATCCTGTTGATATAATATGGAGTAACATCGGAAATTCAGAAGGGCTAACTTTCTTCAGGAGATATCTATGGAACATCGTTGGGTTCCTATTGATTATGTTTGTGTCAACTCCAGTAGTGGTTTTTAAAACCTTCCAAACTTTGAGTGACAAACACTTAGACCTTCAATTCATGCAAAATATACCCTATATAGACGTGATTTCATCAATCTGGCCTCCTCTCATAATCTTGTGTATTAATATGATGTTGATTCTACTTATCGATCACTCTGCTATTTCTGAGAAGAGGTCGGCTCACTCGACATTCCAATCCTCAATCTTCAATAAAGCTTTGATATATTTGCATTTGAATATGGTTTTTGTGCCTTTTCTTTCATTACAAGGCCAGCCCATCTTCAGAATCTTAGAATATCATCAAGTGAAGACAGAGTACATCAGAGAATTTACCATGATAAACAGCTCAAGTTTCTTTGTTAACCTTATTATTCAGTACGGGGTTTTCACAGCAATATTCTACTTCCTGAGACTTGGAGAGCTGATGCTGAACTATCTCTCGCCTTGGCTAGTAGACTACAGGAGGAAATACATGAACGATTCCCAACAATGGAGGAGAAAGCCTGAATATATCTTCCAGTATGGTTACTTTTACAGCCAAATGATGACAATTTTCACTATTTCAATCCTATTCTCCTCAACAGCGCCTATGGTGATATTCAGTGGGTGAATTTTCTTCTTCCTACGAAACATCACAGACTCTTACACGTTGCTAACAGTCCATAGGAAAGAGATTGAATCGAAGCTGTCTATTTTCCATAAAATCCTCTTATGCCAGTTAATAAGCCTTCTAGCTTATCAAATATTCATATTTGGGTATTTTTATCTGAACAATGCTTCTCTTCAAACCTGGATTATTGGGTTGATCCTTGTGTTCACGATCCTCGTGATTACTATCAATACAGAACAGATGTTTGACCCAATGAGACTGGTAAAGCTAGATCTTGAGGAAGAGGAATGCTCGAAATTCCACAGTAAAGTTACTAGGAGAGATTTTGATAGGAGAGATTTTGAGAAATGGAAGGATTCTTACACCCATCCCTTGATCAGCAACTCTGTAGGTAGTTCAGCCAGTGTGTTTAGTACTGAAATTAGAAAGATTATCGAAGATGAGAATATGATTCATCAATTTGAAACACAATCAGAAGATCAGCAGCAGTCTAACAGACCTAACATGTATAGACATTTTGAAGAAGTCAGTGAGAAGGAAGAAACCAAAGGTCTTCCAAGAGACGCAAGCTTAATAAGTTTCTAATACCAAAGAATTCAATCAGAAGCAAAAAGCACGGGGTTTTGGGGTTTTGGGGTTTTGGGGTTTTGGGG